CAAAAAAAGAATGAAGTGTTTGTGCAAATCATTTTTGGTAGGAGTGGATATCATATGATGGCAACAAAGAAGTAGTGTAATGCTGGTATGAAAAAACTGCCAACAGTGTGACATCAGTAAACCGCACAAACGTGTCTACCTACCATCATGCTTTTCAAAATAGATACGAGGAAGAGGGTTAAAAAACAAAAAACATCAACTGGTGATTTGGATGAAACGCTGAATCACTGTTGTTCAGGAGACGCTTACTCTCCTGTGAGCAGAGAAGACGACACACCCCACGCTGTTCGATTTAGGCATTGCAGCATCCTCTGCTGTAGCTCACTGTTATGATTTAACAGGTGGTGTTAGAGCGTGCAGGATAAATGTCTGCTCTAAACAAAGGAAGGTTGAGGAGAAGAGAAAGCAGAGGGGGGAGGAAGAGACGGGAGAGGAGGTGAACAGGAGGGAGCAGCAGGATGAAGTGAGCACTGGCGTTGCACCAACATAACCCTCCATTTGCCTCAGAGGCCTTGTCAATGTGATGCCATGCCAGAGTGGTTGATGGGAAAATCACGTGCATGGAAGAACAAACACACGCACAAATTGTACATGAAAACTGTCTAACCTGTAGTCTTAAAAGATCAGAATAAAAGCCCAAAATACTGAGCATGTTCGGTACTCGAATTTGCATGACTGTTTGTTTGTTGATTGCCTACATCAGGTCCTCCGCTGAGCTCAAACTATGTGTGAAGAAGCTGTTTTCACAAATGCGCTGCAGCCCTGAACATTTCCAGGTCTCACCTAACAGAAGTGCACGTGAGAGCACAAATATCTGATGCAGTCAGATCGAATATTAGCTGATTTCTAACCTGCCAGCAACCTAGGACATCAGATTCTGGGGATTGATGTGTGACCAGGGAGGGTAATAGCTGAGTGCATTTACAGCTAGCAAGTGGGCATCATGTGTCCTGCCTCCTGCACGCTCTACCAGGGCAACTCCCTTACCTAAAGCACACAAAGTATTTGCAGTAATGACAAAGCATTAGGCGGGTCATTTCCTGGGGCGTGCTACATGTGAGAAAGGAAAGCTGTGTCCCGGATTCCTCAGACACTGTCCAAAGTTCATGTTTGAGGTCAGCTTGTGATAAGACCGGAAGATAAGGGACTTCATTATCAGGACATAATGCAGATGCTCTTTGGTATATGAAAAGAGCAATGGGTCAGCTGTAATAATCCATGTATACATTAAAAACAGAAATCAGAGGAGTTCCTCAAA